ACTGGGTCCAAAGGACGTAAAGGAAAGATGGAAGTAGGCAGCTCAATGGTAGCTATTTAGGGGGAAATTCCAGATAAGGTAGGATCTGGATCCAAATCTTTGATTTTACTGGCTGCATTCTTTATGCACTGTGTACACTGAAAAGGAATACATACATATATTTATATTCTGTAGATAGAAGAAGCCATTTACTCTTGAACAGAATACCTAGCTACACTGAGCATCATTTTACTAAAAGGCTCATGCAGCTAAGCAGATTTAGCTCTGCTTTTAAATAAATACGGGGAAATGTTTAACCCCCATTGTATGGCCACAAAGCCCGTGCTGATCACACAGAAGCTTGGGAGGTCGAGGACAAAGCCATTGGCTGCTGGAAAGGGCTTTTTGTGCGTGCTTCTGCACAGCGCTGCGACAGCGGGGCTTAGCAGCCGACTCTTGTCAAGATTACAACGTGGAGGGGAGCATGTAACAAATTCTTATCTCCTACTAACAAAACAAAAGGGAAAAAAAAAAAAAAGCAAAACAGGAAGAGGACTATACAGCTATATGCACAAGGTAATGGCTGATTTCTCTTTTCTATTCAGATTCTTCTTGATCCCTTACGCAGCTGAGATTTGTGTACCTTGGTATCGGTTAGTCTGATTTATTTGAGTAGCGGGAGCATGGGGAAATGGAGGTTATACCTCTGAAAAGGAGAATAGACCTATCCTGTGTAACTTACTGAAACATTTAACTTTGGTTAGCAGTCTAGGTGTTGAAATCAATACAGTATAATTTATATCCATGGAGGAAGGTCGTGACTTTGCAACATATTAAATATTAGATCGAAAGTAAATTCTGTTTTGAGGACTGTAATATAATGAACTCATTTATATAAAATGAGTATGTTGCTCTAAAGGATATTAATAAAAACTAGCCTGAACCGCTTGCATTAGAATATGTGAGCATGTGTGTATGGAGAATGAGAAACTGAACAGTTATTTTTGGTGAATTTCCAGGATATATATTTTTTTCCATTATTACTTTGTCAGAATCATCTGGGGTTGAGCACTGCCAGGAATAAGATAGATATGACAGAAAGATGGATCACCGCCCTTATCAACCACCAGGGTAGTTTCTCCTCTTCTGAGGGCTCCTCATCACTTCTTAATTCTGAAAGAAGAAATGACAGGAGGGTGAATACTGGAGCTCTGCAGTATTGAATTGCATGAAACTGTGCTTAAATGCACTAAGTATATTTTATATGTCATAAAGCAAATATTTTTCCAGGTCCCCCTTAAAATGTATTTGACAATACTTAAAGATATTTAATGAAAGTAAAAGGAAAATGCATTATATACATAGTGTGTATAGTATTAGTTTTAGGAGAAAGCTACGTATTGTCTCATTTTACAGCTTTCTAAGGTTAGATTAATAACATGAGAACATTTTAACTTTTTAATTGAATATATTGAGTACATTTTATCTAAAACCATTTGGCCAATCTGATTATAAAATAGAAGTGGAATTTTGGTATTACTATTTTTTACTTTTGAACTTTTTTGTATAGCTTTGTATTACAATACACACTGTTTTATTCTAAATTGTACTTTCCTAGAGTCTATCAACACTATTAAATGTTTTTAAAGCAACACTATGTAAATTTTAGTTCACAAGTTTTTAAATGAATGAATACACAATAAACATAATGATCTAGTGTGTAGAAATACATTTATATTTCTACAACATCCTAGCAGCCAGTTTCATAAATAGAAAATGAGCAGTTACCCCCAAGTGCATCTAATACATTAAAAAGCATATTTCACCAAATCTGTAGACTTAATTATAAAAATAACCTTGTTTAGAATGTTTTTAAAACATCTTTTCTGCCTACCTTTTATTTATTTATTTTCAATTCATGCTAACTCCCTCACTTGTGACTGTTCTATAAGGGTACAAATGCTCCTCTTACTCTCAAAAGCAGACATCTGGTTATTTGTTTACATGTTTGGAGATGAGAGGTTCCTGGCTAGAATGAAATAAATGTCACTTCACCTGTTGAATCCCATAAGATGATGCCACCAAGCCATTCAAAATATCATCTTAATGCAGTTAGCATTGTGAATAACAATTCAAAGTTTTAGCTTAACTGTCAGGCAGGAAAAAGAAAAAAAAATCATATTTGTAATCTGAGATTGCTTCTGTGCTTCATTACACCTGAGTTGACTTTTGGAGATGCAGGTGCTCCTTTGTTCACCTTTTAGAGAACTCCTCATGCTTATGAGTTCACTGGAGTTAGGAGCTTTTGTTAAGCTAAGCTCCCTTCTGAAAGAAAGTGAATCACATCACAGCAAAAGAATGTGATCCTGGACTGTAAATAGGTTACAGCCATGGATGCCAAAAAAGAACTATAGCAAATATTTATTTTTGGAGCAGAATGAGTGTAGTCCAGACATCCCAAGAGCCTGATATTCTGACCATTTCATACGCAACAGCTGAAAAAGTTTGACTGTGCCTCTAATACAGCTTCTTTTCTCTTACTAAAACACTGAAAACTGTAATGCTTTGTAGTATGTCCCAAACAATATATATCATTAAGTAACAGTATTTAGCTCAGAGGAGTAAAGGGAACTGGTTGTTTTTTTCACCCCTTCTTTTGATGTGTGTTAGGGCTCTGGGAAGGATTATCCACTGTGTCAACATTGATCTATGGCTCTGCAGAGTTTGTTTTTTTTTTTTTTGCTTTATGTGAAGTCTTACACACAAGCTGTCCATCCTGGGTCTAACATCACACCTAACTTTTACACCTAGCCCTTGAGGCTGCAGCTTTTTTAATGGTACTAACATCCAGACAGGGATAAATGGGATAAACTCCTGTCATTGCATAGGCTAACATCTCTTATAAAACATGCTGGCCATGTTCACCCAACGTGCTCTGAGTTTCATCTGGGTACCGTGATGTCCCTGTGGCCCTAATACACAGCTAGTTCATGTTTGCAGTTCAGAGCATCTCAAACAGGGAGAGCTGTATGGCAGCTCACCAAAGGGATGAGTCTGCAGCATGGTGTTACACGTGTGGTGTGTGGGGGCATGGGGTGTTTGTGCAGACAGTGCTTTGAAGGGACTGTCTCAAACGGAGACTCTAAACTTGTGCAGTCCTGACAGTATGGCCCTTCAGAAGTGGCCCTTGGGCTGGAGAGTTCCCTTACACGTCCTTGGGTTTCCACGTGGGGGAGTGAGTTGGTGGCCAAACCAGCCAGGAAGCAACGTGAGTGGTAGGGTAGATGAATCTTCACGTAGAAGTTGAATATGTCTGATTAGTGTCATACCTGAGCATTTTGGTCAGTTAGGAGCCGCATGCTTGTAGCAGTTCGGAAAGCAAGTTCACTGTTGCCTGTGGCTGATACAGGTCCGGTTGGGGGGCAAGCAGCTGTTCCCCCCAGAGAATATGGGTAGGGAAGGGTTTGAGTGCTTGAGCGAAGGTGAAGGCAATGAAGTGAATTTCACCCTGGTGAAATAAATGCTAGATATCAAACTTCCAACGTGACAAAGATAACATGTTCTTTCCAGTGCTTTATTATGTAAGAGCAACAATATGATTTGAAAGAGCAGGGTGAAGAGCGATTTATGAGAACAGTGCATTTTGCTACTGTAAGAAACAGTTATAAGAGAGTTTGTTCAACATTTAGGATTTTGCCAGGTTACAGAACAATTTAGCAATAAAAATGTTCTTTAAAATACTCTGAAAGAAACTTCGACGGTGTTATCAAATTAAACCAATCTTACTGGATCACTAAGTTTGCAGTCTCTTGTTTCATCCTACAAGATGGTGCTCATCTGCAGATAAGAGTAAACAATAAGTTTTTCTGCAGATAAAATTTGTACTTTTATGTACACTAAATAAAATAGCACGTGGCTTGACTGCAGAGATGCTAATCTGGTGCTTCACTTCGTCACTGGTTCACTGAAATAAAGACTGTAGGTGGCAAGCAGAGCTGAATTTGCAGATGAGCAACATGTGCTGTAAAGCCAGAGGACTATCATGGGAATCCTCAGTTCTAAATTTTTTGTAGCTCACTGTCAAAATTTGTGATCCTACATGAACCATACTCACGTGTTCAACTCCACGTGTGCTTAACTGTGAAAAAATAAACAGCCTCTTTCTCAACGAAGCCTCAAATATGTCTAAAATAGGGTGTTAAAGTAACAAAGACTTGATAGTGGTAGTGCATGCACAGTTCTCATGAATAAATGAGGAAGGTCACAGCTGAATTGAAGACAAGCCCTCACCTGCTGTTTCCTCTTTCCTTGTATTGTGCTTTTAATGTGGGGGGTTGGCTGGAGGGGGAAGGGTTGTCTGTCTCATCCCTCAATTAGGATTTAGGATATTCTCCTAGAAAGCATGAGATCAGGCAGTTTATGAATAGGCTATAAACCCTGATCTCTTGCTTTCTGGGCACGTGCTGTGACCAAAAGCTTTTCCTGCAGTAGAGGCTTGCTGTCAGTGCTGCTCTGACCTCTACCAGCTGATTTCTAAGTAGAAGCTTGGGCATCTGTATCCCAAAGCACACTGCAGCATCTGGTCTTGAAGAGAGAGAGGTACCCCAATGTGCCTTAAGTTACTGAACTTCAAAAAGATGTTGTGTCCAGTGGCTTGGTCAAGTCTTGGGAAGCACTGACTGTTTTTCACTGACACTGTAAAAAAACCTGTATACCTTTATGGGTGGCCTTGTTTGATCGGATGGGTCTGTTTACATTATTTTGGGGAGCTAAATGCAAAGTATAATTTTGAAATCTATGATACTTCTTTTGTTCCCGATGCCTCTTATTTTTCCTTAAGCCCAGCATATATAAATTAGTTCCTAGTACAATGTCATTCCTCTTGACATCACTTAAACCATACCTGATTTAGCATTGCAGCTATATTATGAAGACATTTCTGAGGTATTTGTTGTAGTTTAACAGTGAATGTAATTATTGACCTGTATGAAGATTTCAGGTTCTATATCACTTTTTTGCAGGCAAGACAATAAGGTAAAAATCTGCCATACAACAAATAAGAAAGAAGGAAAAGTAATTATATAGACCATCTGTCTCAGAAGTTATTTGTACAAAGGTAAGATATTTTTTTCTATTTAAATTTTAATTTCCCATGCCAAATATAGAGAAGAAAAGCTACTGGCATTAAGTTTTTCTTTATTAAGTTTCTTCTTTCTATAGCTTCTTTTAAGTACTATCAAGATAGTCGTATTATGCTTTTAGCTGCATTTCCACATTTGTTTAGGTTAACAGCTTGTGATTAATATAATTTTTACAATATCGTCACAGCTTTTACCTGAATAGCTCAAATCAGATACATTTACTAGGAGAGCAGCTATAAGTATTTCGTAGCTTCATATAAATAAAGGAAGGCTTAATCATCTCAGATGTGCCTTGCTGGAGAGGACAAGTGTCGGGACAAGTTAACTAGTAAACAAGTGGGTCTGAAAAACAGAATTTAGAAGGGACTTAAAATATTTCTGTACCAAAAGAGTTTTTTCTTCATGATAGATCACAGATTTGGTGGTGGAGACATTCTGAACTCTTCAGTCTCATGGTTTAGATCCCAAGGTTAAAATGCCTGTTTTGGAAGTTTTGAAATAAGCTTTGATTTTTCTTTTCTTTTTTTTATTATTTTTTTTCAATTGCCCTCCAACCCCTCTGTGCTCTTGTATTTCAATTGAATAACTTTCAGTATAAGAACAGAGATAGCCTTACTCGAAGTCAGAAGTAACTGCTGAATAGTTATCTGTGTTTTAATATCTGAATCTTTTGAACAAAAAATCTGATTTTGGGGTCTTGAATACAGTATTGTATGCAGTCTGCTAAAACAGACTTCTTTCATAGTGCGTAGGCATGGATGGCTCCACAATGGTTTATCTCTCATTTATGTGTTCAAACAGAAGGGACATCTGAAAGTGTCAATAATAGGTTTAAAACAGAGAAAGGAGAAGATAGACACTGAAAAGTTTTGACTTCTGAACTGTTTGCTGGTGGTGTTTCTGAAAGTAAAACTTAGTCCATCTTTTCCCTCCAGCAAAGGTACTTTAATCTTTCAGGGATCTTTTCTGAAAGTGTTCTTGTGTTAGTCACTCAAGAGTTAAACGTAGCTTTGCATAACGAGGACTGTTACTGTAAGGTTTTGAAACTAGACTGCTCTGAAAAGATAACCATTGAAGATTCTGAAAGGCTTTTTGGATGGTAACCAAGTTAAGGAAGCTCTAAGGTTCTTTGGCTTTCCTGCTAGCTGCTTTCACTCACCAGGATCCTGGCACCCTATCCCTGTGCCCTCATTGCCTCCGTAGCTCCAGTTCTTCTGTCAGGGAATGCCACCATACAATAGGCCCCCTGGGGCTACTTGGATGAGTGACAACCAGCCAGCTCCAAAGTGACAAGTGTTTGAATGTCTAATTGGGTCAGTGCACAGGTGCCTGCTCCTCATGAGGGAGATGTTCTAGCTTTTCTCTGGGACTTTCTCTTGGTTCCCTTCATTTTTCTTACAGTTGTAAAGCAAAACTGTCTATAGTTTCTTGCAAGAGAACAAGCATTAGGAAGGAAGAAGGATGACCTCTCCCTAGACTGTTTTGGTTAAAATATCATTAATGCTTGAGTGCTGACTGGAGGGGAGGCAAAAAAAATCCATTGAGGAGATGGATGTATGCTGATAGAAATAGATGATATAGTAGATTATAATAAAGAGACTTGATTGGTGGAAAAAAAAAACAAACAACACATCGTATTTGCTCATTTTCTGTATTTACATAGTTCTCATACTGGTTAGAGCTAGAGTCTTTTGCATCAGGGATGCATGGAAAAGAAAAAAAATGGTTTAGCTATATTTGTACAGTGAGTCCTTTCCTAAGTCTAATACACAACTTGTTTTCATAGAATGCAATCAGATATAGGCAACTGATGTGCAAGGAAACAGTTTCAACTTACTGAAGGCATGCTCTGAGCAAAGAAGACAACTGACACTAAGTCCATGTTACTCAGGTGTAATTGCTCCCATTCCATCTCTCCCTCAAAGAACTATAGAATACTTGGGGTTGGAAGAGATGTGTAGAGATCATCTAGTCCAACTCCATCTCTGCTGCACAGTCAACTAGAGCAGCTTGTTGTTTGGACAATTGGTTCAAATGTTTGACTGCCTTCAAAGTAGAAAAGTGCTTTCTTGTGTTCAGATGGAAGTTCATCTGTTTTAATTTGTACCCATTGCTTCTTGTCCTGCCTCAGAGCACCACTGAGAAATGTTCTTTAGCCCCGCCCCATCAGATATTTATACACATGGTATAAATACATTATTCAAGATATCTTCAAGCATCCTCTTCTTCAGGCTAGAGTCCCAGATTTTTCAGTATCACCTAAGAGATCAGATGCTCCAATCCATTAATTTTTTTTATGGTTCTTCACTGGATTCACTCCAGTATGCCTGCATTTCACTTGTACTGTGGAGCTCGTGAGTGGACACACCACTCTGAATATGTTTCACCAGTGCTGAGGAGAGGGGAAAGATGTCTTATTTTGACCTGCTGGCAACATTTTTACTAATGCAATCCAGGATACTGTTGGTCTTCTCTGCTTCAAGGGCACCCTGCTGGCTCATGGCCAACTCATAGTCCACCAGGACCCCCAGGTGCTTTTCTGCTGAGCTGCTTTCCAGCTGGTCAGCCCCAGCCTGTGCTGCTGCCTGGGGTTGTTCTCCCCAGGTGGAGGACTTTGTATTTCCTTTTGTCGAACCTCATGAGGTACCTGTTGGGCTGTTGTTCAGCCTGTTGTTTAAAGCTTTAAACAAAGATGTTTAACAGTACAGGCTCCAGTATCAATCAAAGCTTTGTTAAACAGAGAAATACTGAGTATTTCTTTTATGCTACATACATGTACATTATTGCAAATTTGAGGTGATTCCTGTGGCAATCATGAGAACAACCAAAGTCATAAATGAACACTCTACAACATTTTAAAAATAATTTTAGTTGGGATTGGTCTTTGTTCTATTTTTGCTCTGAAAAAATTTCTGAGCTTTCAACTTCCTGTGGGAGAAATAATGGTGAAGGAACTTGAGAACATATTTGAATGCAGACTTCTTGTTCTGTGCTGCATATGCATTCACTAAAATCCCATGAAGAGTGACTGTTAAACACAGAAAGCAGCAAACGCAAATATTAAGACCTGGGTTTATTACATCTCATCTTAGGTGCTTGGATACCTCAGATAAATTAACAGCATGGTTGTTTAAGGAAGAAAATTTTTGGTAGGCAACTTGAATTCTGACAATTGTCTCATCTGCCTACCTGTGTGTAGAGTTGGTGTGTAAGTGCAAAGAGCAGGGAAGGTAGCAGTATGTAGAAAGGAGCGGGAATAGGAGATCAGTGAATTTATGATCTGTTAGTGGAACTTCAACCTGTGTGTTTTGCAGCTGCTTTCTGTTCTTCTTTCCAATTTGCTTAGTCAAGTTAGAATATTACTGTTCCTTTGAAAATTGTTTCACCCATTCCCACTGTTGGTGATCTATTTTAGTATATACTATCGTTAGTATGAAGTGCCCAGCTTTAAGAGAAATATTTTGTTGTTTTTGCTTCTTGATACTAAAAGAATAAAAGTAATGAAAAAGCTAGAACTCTCAGTAATAACTTTTTAGTTAGCTTTATTTATTTCCAAATGTTTTTGCCCTTGTAACAAAATGCGTGGTTACAGAATCTCAAAATGGTTGAGGTCATCTTGTCCAAGTTCCTTGCTCAAGCATGGCCTCACAGAGCAGACTTTCCAGGACCATGTTCAGATGCCTTTTGAGCATCTCCAAGGATTGGGATTCCACCACTGCCACAGGGAAGCTTTTCCAGATCTCAGTCACCCTCAGAGTAAAAAAGTGTTTCCTGATATTCAAGCAGAGCCTCCTGTTTTGCAGTTTCTTTTGTGCCTGGATGATCCGTTAGTATGTCCAAATGATATCCAACCTTTGCTTTCCAGAGATCCATGATTGCACCTTTTCTGTCTTTCAATGCTAGCTCTTAGGGGCGCTCTAATTCTGAAATTTTATTTAAAAATATTATACTGTTATTATTATATCATATATATATAGATATATATATAATATATATATTATTATTAAACTGGGAAAGAAAATTACATATCAGATGCTCTTACTGAATGCTTGGATAAGCTCCAACAGTAATAAAAAAAAAAAAAATCAACAAAACAACCATAACAACAGAAAAAACATACCTTCCAGAGCTTGGAAATATTTTACCCAAAATTTATTTATTTGCAACCTGGGAAGTCCTTTTCTGCATCATTAAGAGGAATAATTTAAACCATTTTAAATATTGGTAAAGCCATTATTTTAAAATTGGTATACTCAAACATCATCTGTTGTAAGTATGTCAGTAGATATAACTAGAAGCCAAGATAAAGTACTGTCTTTAACATAAATGCTGTTTTCTTTTTTTCAGTAGATTCTTTTCCAGTGTCTAATGACACCACCTGTAGCTAATCATGTTTTGATTATAGAAGAGAAACTAGATTCCGTCTTAGGGTTTCTCAGTGAATGCATTTTGCATATCTCTGTTTTGTAAAGCAAAATCCAGGGGGAGTAGGGAAGAGGAAATGATAACCATTTTTACAGACCTGACAGAATAAAGCAAATGTTTAAGTACACTGGTATTAAAAATAAATAAATAAATTTAAGTTCCAACTGCAGATTTTTTTTTTTAAGTGTGTCCATGCAACTTTTAAGTGGCAACTTCATTGAGGCTTAATAGTGTGGTTAATAACATTTTTCCCCTACAATTCCTCAGTGGAAGCTTAAGTGAGACTTATACAGGTGGTTTTACTTATCACAGCTACTCTGTCTGGCAAATATATATCATTTGATCTTCAAAGACTCTTCAGTCTATGCAATTAATAGAATCATAAAATAATTTAGGTTTTAAGGTCTTCTGGTGGGCTTGGAAGTCATCTAGTCCAACCTCTTGTACAAAGCAAGGCAGACTGTAGTCAGAGCAGAACGTTCAGGGCTTAGTCTCATTTATTTTAGAAATCTCCAAAGGGGGGGGGATTCTACAGCCTCCTTGGACAACT